CCCCAAAACCCCAAAACCCCAAAACCCCAAAAGATATCATCAAAATTGAATTATTGAAAATATAATTATGGAAATTTACTTGGCTATATTTTTCTGTTCTTACTCAACCTCTTCTGGATAACTTTGCCTTCATAGAAGTCACAGACCAATCGTGGATACATTTCTTTAAGTTCTTCCATTGATCAGTAGCTTTTCTGTGGCTTGGTCCCGCCAGGCCTTTTCTTCCATTCAACAAGCCCTCTCATAGCTATAACAAATGGTTATAAATTTTATGAAATTGTGAAGAATGAGCTGTATCTCCAAAATAATTTAAGTTATTTAAAGCCTAACAAGAGTTTTGAGCATCTATTGCTACAAATTATTTGTAAAGACTCGGACATCAGAGGTACAAACAAATTTGTATCTATCATCTCTCCTCTTCTATTTAAGAATAAAGCAGAGAAGAGTGACTATAAATCCTCTTCTAGTTGTGAGATATAATTCCAGATTTTCCTTGACATAATATTGCACTCAATAAGACCTTACCTTCAGAGATTTTCATGTTCAAGATTTTCTGTGGCTCATCTGTTTTAAGAGACCCTACTACCTTCTCTTCAGGAATATAGCTTGCATTTGTAGAGGGGTAGTTAAATGTAGCTTTACTTCATTCCTTCGTTGATGTAATGTTAAGGCCCTCACTTCCTTTAGACGAGGGCCTTTTCTTCCTATGAACTCTCTCCAATTCAAAGATCTTTTGAATTGGCATCTCCCTTGGCTTTTTAGACTTCTTTGGTTGCTTGGATCGTTTGGAATACACGGAATGAGTCCTCTTCCTTCGCTTCGTTATAAATATAGCTCTTGAAGGGTTAATCAGCTTCTTTAGAGCCTTCTTCTCCTTCTTCTCCTTCTTTGAGTTTGCTAAATTCTTGTTGTTTAGATTACCCTCCAAGTTTTCTGAAGAGTCAAATACTTTAGTTAAGAAATTATGTTTCTTTTTACCCTGAGAAGCATCTCTTTTCTTCTTTTGAGAAACTATGGGCAGTGTGAGAGGCTTCTTAATTGCTGGATTTCATTTATCTTCTTTTCTGGTGGGAGATTTGATCTTTTGAAAGCCATAGAATTCACCAAATATACCCCCGTATCCACCAAATATACCTCCGTATTCTTGCTGGCCATTAAATCCATAATCTAATAATTTCTCAGGAGAGATGTTATCTTCTTGATGTTGCCATATCGCTTTCTTGCTTTTGACAGAGTCTTTTCCTCCAAAAATATCAAGATCTGAAGGCGAGCTTTTATCATCTAGCATATTAAAGACACTGTAATTAGTCTTTTCAGTATCATCTTTTATTTCATGAATCTCTGGTTCTGGTATAGGATCAAACTTCTGTAATCTCTTCGGGGATGATTTCGCTCTAATCTTCGAGCTTTGAGACTGGGTGGGACTTGGCAAATGGGATCAATTCTTTGGCTTGAGATAATTGCATATCTTATCTTTTCTCCTCTTACAATTAACATTTTTATATTTAGATTCTGATAAATCTATTTTGTTCAGACTCTTATTAAATTCGTCGATCAGATCCATATTATTTTCGAAGCTTGAGATAGGTTCCCAAGTTCATTCTGACATTGAGTATCCTTCCCATTTTACAAGATATTTTAGCTCTCCATTGATTTCAGAGCATTTAAGAATCTTCTCTACTTCATAATATTTGTCTAAACAATATTCCTCATCTTCTCCTGGAGTGTTGTCGTACTTTCAGCTTCCGCTGGTATCACAATGTTGGTCTATACTCTAGTTAGGCAAACTTCGGAACATCAGCTCTTTCAGTCAACTTCCTTAAAACAGTTATACAAGGTGTGCAGATTTTTACATGAGCTTAAATTTAATTTTTCTTGTTGAAGAAATTATCGAAATAGCACCTGTTCAGGAGAAATTATAGCAGAGATAATGCCATTCCTACAGTCCAGTAAGGGACTTCAAAAGTTATTGGGATATCCTCATGGCTTACCTTGTTTATCAAAATCTTTCACTGACTCAGGAGATAGGTAATTCTTGCTTCAGGGCTTCTTTGTCATTTTGCTTGTTGCTTTCTTTTCTAGCTTATTTGGTTTCATTATTTCAAATTATATGTGGTTGTCTAAATAGTTATTTGGGGTGCAATTTATCACAAGTATCCAAATCTTATTTTCAATTTGAGATATTTAATTAGGGGTTTTGGGGTTTTGGGGTTTTGGGG